GAAAAAAATGTTGGCAGACAAAAGTATCTGAGAGCTGGATTTGGCAAGGACACCAATGTTAACGCCTGTTCGCTGGAGAAAAAGGCTAGATGTTCAACAATCATTGGTGATCTGTATCTCCATCTGATGTCTCACCTGAAAACCTTCTCTCAAACCAGCAGTAGAACACATTTTAACACAATTGTGAGTCACTGGTTCAGTTGTGACTAGGAAGCAACAGCACCGCCTATTGCATGGGTGGGCAAAACGCGGCCCACGGGCCGAATGTGGCCCTCCAGGCCATTCTATCCGGCCTGCGGGGCCCCCCCAAAATTTGGAAAATTAATATTTATCTCTCCCCGGCTGCCTGTCATGCAGCCCCCGATGACTTGCCACAACTCAGTAAGCGGCTTTCCGCCCAAAATAATTGCCCGCTCCTGGCCTATTGAATTTCTAAAGTCCCACTCCACAGCATGAAAATGTCCCTTAGCACCAGGGTGCTGAATAGACCTGATCCTGCTTAGCTCCCATGCCCCAGTCCTTAAGAAAGAAGCAAGTGAATGGCTGTAAAATATATTATATATTATATAATACATATTTTTATCCCCTAAAAACAGCTTGCTTTTCATTTTCCTCTGTACCTAGAGCTAAATCCTATCCTGGCACAGCTCTGCCCCCTTTTATTTCAGGGCTGAACTGATTCCTATATGGGCATTATATTTTTGGCAAGACAATTTTAACAGCCCTCAGTTTGTGAGCTGCAAGGATGGGTGCCCAAATATGGATCAGAAAGATGCTGCACTTGGATCTACTGGATCAGATAATCTTTCAACCAAAGCTTACACTGCTCCAGGTTCTGGAAATGGGTATTTTAAAAGATTTTGACTCCCAAAAGCCGGAAGACTTTATCCTGGCAAGTAGTCTATAGAAGCAGTTGTTTGCTATGCCTTCACATAGAATGCTTGGCACCAGAAACAGCCCCGGTATTTCTATAAATTATCTTCTTCTCCCTTGCCAAAGGTCTCCGAGGGCTTGAAATAAGTTCCCCTTCCTTCTTATAAATGACACGTGATCTTACAGCTGCAGCTTTTGCATCCGAGAAGGGAGAAGCAGGGTAAGTACATGGCAAACAGAAATATGTTCCTGAGACTGATAGCTAAGGTTACAGGGGCCACGTCTACACGAGATGTTACTGCACAGTAGCGTTGCGGGGTACTAACCATGACGCAACGCTACTGGGCCGTAGTAATGAGCTACTGCGCAGTAGGCCTGTATGAAGCAGCTGGTATTCGCTTCAGATTCGGCCAATTCGGGGGACAGCAATTCAATCCGGTGATTTGAATCACTGTCCCGATTCGATTTGGCCAAATCTAATTCGGAGATTCGGCTGCTGCCAAATCTCCAAATCAGCCAGGCCAGGCCCATTCCCCACCTGCACCAGCTCCCGGCTATTTGGGAAAAAAAGCCCCAGTGCTCACCGGGTGCTGCTGGGTGGGGGGCAATCCCCGCTGCCCCCCACTGTCCCACGCTGCATGGGGGGCTCTGCACAAACCCCCCAACCACTCCCCTCATTTCCCCAGCCCCCCATGGGTGCCCCACCCAGGCCAGCTCCGGCCCATTAAGGGAAAACCCCCCCACCCCTGAGAAAACACCCAGACTCACTGCTCCTTCTGGCAGGGGCGATCCCCGCTGCCCCCCACTGCCCTGCGCATGGGGGGCTCTGCATGAGCCCTCGAAACCCCAAGGCCACACCAGGAGCGGTGAGTACTGGGGCTTTTCTTGGTTGGGTTTTTTTTTCTTAAAGGGCTGGAGCTGGCCCAGGTGGGGCACCCGTGGCGGGGCCAGGGGGGGGGGGCGGGGGTCAGGGGGGGCTGGCAGGGGTCCCCTCATGGTCCCCTCCCCCCTTTCACAGCCCCCCCAAGTACTTACCAACTCGGAGTCAGCTGCAGCCATCGAGGACTGCCCGAATCATCAAAACTCTCTGAATCTTTGCCGAAGATTCAAAGAGGTTTGAATCCATTCAGACCTTTAAATTGGTCTCTGATTCAATTCAGATTCAGAGATTTGGCCACCGAATCTCCTCTGAACCGAATCACCACCCGAAGCTTCGCACAGCCCTAATCATCAGCACTGAGTTTCTGCACTTCCCGTGCTGCTATAGTGTTATGTAGCTTGCCAATAGGTTCTGCAGCTTCGGGCAAGGCTTGTGCATAGCACAGAACTGACCTGTCCAAGGTCTCCAGGCATTACTACAATGACAATGTGAAACCATAATAAAGGAAGCCTGCCACTGCCGCCTCGGGAGGTCATGCTGCAGGTCAGCATTTTATTCACTCTCATCTTCGCACACCCCGTCTGCCAGAGAGAAGGCAGGAACAACCTACCTCACATATACATTTTCCTTTAAAAAAGAAATGCGGCTGGGCATGTTGGACTCTGTGCTAGGATTGTGTTGTGACTGCATAATGATGACTCAGACATTTATTGGTTTCAGGCATACTTTACATGCAGAGAAAAAGGAGCTGGAGCCAGCCCCACGTGATGATATTAGCATACCCTCCCCCCTCGCCGATCCACTCCACCGCCCCATCTCCCGCACCTAGACTCCTTTGGACTGGAGGGTGGAGCAAGACTCAACTGGCCTGTGCTTGCATATCGCTTTTGTATGTAGCAGATTAACATAAACTGCTGGAGGGAAGCATTTTGACGATGAAAAACCAGGCAGAGATCAATTGTTCTCTGCTTGCATGGAAAATTACTCTAGCTACCACTTTTCCCTTTAATTGAGCTGCTCCAAAATATACTGGGAGAGGAGATGAGCAGGCAGGGGGGAAGGAAAAAGGGAGGCATTCATGTATATGCAGGGGTTGAGGACTGCTTCACTTTTCTGCCTCTTACAGGCTCATACTCAAGTGCAGATCATCACCTTTCAGCGTCCCTGGAAAAACAGGCTGAAATCAGAAACCATTTCGGAGTCAGCCATTTAAATGTCAGCAAGGAGAGAGTTTTCTCATACGGCGCCAGACCTAACACAGCTCTCCAGCACCATCAGTGCCATTCTGCTTTGGATACAAACAAGAGCAGATGGGAGAAGTGGGTGCCCTTAGAGGGATTTGATCCCAGCTCTTATTATTAATCGAGTTTACTATTTCATTGCCTATGGCCCTTTTTATGGTGAACACAATACGGAGAGCATAGTAAGCAATCCTGGTCTCTTACAACACGAATAGGGTATAGAAGCTGATGGAGGAACCCTGTGACCCTGGCCGGCTGACTTCAGTTCCTCTCTCTCTGCTTCAGTTTCCCCCCTGTGTGAAAGGGGAAGAATACAGACCACGCAGGCAGGTCCTGAGGCTTAATTAACACCAAGTACTTGGAAAGGAAGATGCCAGAGTAACATAAGTAGTTTATCATCTGAAAAAAAAACTAGCCAAGCCTTTAAGATCACTATTTGAAGAATAGATTTTATTACAACCACAAATCACTCCCCACTTCTACAAAAGCAGGTGTTTGAAGAATAACAACAGTGGGATCCTATGCTCATGTATAAGCAGATCCTCCCACCCACTCTTGCCTCTGGCTGTCTCCACACAGCAGATGAGCTTTCTGGGACTTTCTTATAACACTTCAGTATCTATGAAATCATTCTCATGTGAATTTACTCATTGTCCTGTGGGTTCCTCCCCCCCTTCTCTCCATATTTTCTTTGTTCTGAATTTATCAGTATCTTTCCTCAGGATTTTTCAGTGCCTGTTCCCCTTAGATTAATTTTTCTGCTGTGTTCAGTGTTTCATTTCTCCTCTTGTCCTCTCTCTGGCTCTTTCAAAACCTGCCGGTCTTCTTGAGCTACTGATTGTACTCAACAGCTTTCCTTATTCCTTTGTGCATGTCTTCACTCTGCTTTTCTTCTCCCTCCTCCGTCAAATGCCTTTTTACCCTCCCCCATTCCCAATCCTGTCCAGCTTTCCTCCTTATCTCTCTCTCCATCATTGCTTTTCCAGGCACAGACTCAACAATGTACTTAAGCACATGAGGAGAGTGAGAGAAAAACCCAAGGGATACGATAGTGCGATGATTTTAGTTCCCATTTGGTCTGCTTAGCTGCTTACAATTAAATGCTTGTTAAGGGACTTAGACATGTGCAAAGGGATCTTGGTAAATGAGAGACACAGTCCTTCCAACTGTCCTATCTCTGATTCAGCTACCCCTTTTATTTCCCAAATGAATCACTCCTGTCGATCCCAGCCCTCCCTCGCTCCTCTCTGCTTCTTCCCCCATTTTCGTTCTGGTGTGGATCAGGATCTGTGCAAGACGTATTTTACAGCTGGCTCAGCTGGCTGCACCCAGTTATCTTTTTTGCCTTTCTGTTTCCAAGCAGAGGAAATTTCTGCTGTCTGCAAGAATAGCTGATTGGCCATTGTCATCGAAGGAAGATGCAGGGGCGTGGAGGAACAGAGTTGCTAGTGCATAACCTCAGTGCTGCTTTGTTCAGAGAGATGTAGAAGTGGCAATGCAGGCTGGGTAGATCCGCTGTGATCCCTGTCCCAGTCGAGGCCCTGGATCCACTTCCAAATGTCAGCATAGACGTTCCAGCCTGGCTTAGCACACCATGATCATAGTCTGAAGCTGTCTGAACCACAAGAAGGAGAAGGGGCTGTTGGAAAGGGGCTGTTGGAAAGTGAAGAGGGAAATAGGGATGCCAGTAACGGCATCAAATTAAGGAAGGGGAAATTAGAGCTATGCATCAGTTGTAACTTGCTGATACTGAAATGTATTAAGCTATTGTATGTGCTCCCAAGAGATGAAACGGAAGCCCCCCCCCATGGCTTGAGACATTGAAAGGTGGACTGTACAAATCCATCACTGACTGGAGAGGGTGGTATAGCAGGGAGTTGGTGCTCCTGCTACTTTAAGGAAAGTCAGGTTGCAGGAGAAGCAGGCTGCAGTTGAGGCAGAGGGCAATTAGAGAAGCCATGTGACCTAAAACGTGCTGGGCTTGCAGGATATAAACCCAGGGCCTGAGTCGGGCAGGTGAGCTGATCCTAGAAACCATGGAGTGAGGAGCTGTTGAGTAGAAGGGCTGCAGCAAGGCTCCTGATTAACACCTGAGCTGGGGTAGGTAAGACTGGTGGTTCAGGGATTGAGACTGTAGGGGCAGTGGAGGTTGGTCTCAACTGGCCTGGGAATGGAGCTAGGGCCTGAGGGATAGGGGCCAAGGCCAAGGAGCAGGGCCACAGCTGAGGAGTGAAAGCCAGCAGGGCCAGGGGGCCCGTGGCCTGCAAGGCATGGAGTTGTTGGAGGTAATGAGGCATGGGCCCAGGAGAGGCAGAGAATGCAGACCTGGGCCCCTGAGGGACTGGGAAGGAGTTGTAGGTATAGTTCAGGAGACAAAAGCCTGAGCCCAGGAGGGGTAGAGGATGCAGGCTTAAACCCAAAATAGCCTGAAATTGTTTGAGGTACAGAGGCCCAAGTCCAGGAGGGACTGGGATGGTTAAAGGCACCAGGGCTGGAAGCCCCAGCAGTGCTGGAGACTGTTCCAGGTTTAGAGGCCAACATTGATTGGAGTTGACATTGGGGCTGAAGGCTAATGGATGAGGGATTGACTGGATTGGATGAAGGGGCTTAACATGCCCAATGATTGGTAACACCTGCAAGGCCTGGATGTGACTATAAGGGGAGATGAGGAGGCCATGTAAATTAGCCCTTAAGGCGATGAGCATGGACACTTTTGTTCATGAGAATGAGGTCTTGCTTGGGGAGCCCTGGGGCAGCCTCCTTTTTTCTAAAGCCATAATTGCATCAAGGCATGGCAGGAAAGCAAACGGGAGATTGCCCTAACAAAGAAAGTAAAGATGACAGGGGCTGGAGGGTTGTCACAGCCACCCCTGGGGTGGGACCCTATTACGGGTGGAATTTACTTGTCATCTTATGACAGTTATAATAATACTGCACAACTCTACAGCACTCTTAAAAGCTGTTTGCTTCTTACCGTAATGAAGCACTGTTAGTAGTATTCTCCACAAGTTATAGAAATGGAAACTGAGCACAGAACAGAGATGTGACTGTCCTGCAAACTGAGTCTGGCAGAGCCAAACCTTGGTCTCCTAAACTCTCAGGCCTACGAGAGGCTGCTTGATGACTCTTGATTTCTGATATGTGGTTTTGTCCAGACTGTGCTGTTCAGGTCCACTTTATCCTGGGGACAGATTGGATTGCTCTGACAAGCTGTTGTGTTTTGCTGGTAATGTGAGATTACACTCATTAGCACAGGTGCATTTGAGAGATGGTTTTTGGATAAACGTCTCTCTCTCTCTGCACCCAGAGGCTCATTTTTGCCTTTTCAGTCTGCTTTCCTCTGCAGTTTGAATCTCCCTATGAGCCTAATGACTTTCTCAGCCTTTTTTCCCAAGAGGTACTGTCAAGTATAAGGCAAATTACAGTGAAAAACAGAGGGTAACAAGCAGTGCTAAAGTCAGAGGTTGCTGTGCTGCTTTCTGCTATCTCAGAAGGAGTCAGATTCTGATACCCATGCCACTGGTGCCAATCCAAAGCAACTCTGACTTCATTGGAGGTGAGCTGAATTTACACCTGTGCTGATATGATCAGAGTCTTACTAGTTTCAGGCCATGGGGTCAGAAATTCTTAATATAAACCAATTAAATTCAGCAGGTACACAATTGTCACGTAAATGCAAACACAGCAGAGTGAGGGAGTAGCAAAGAAAAGCAGTTAATGGCAAGGCAGATGCCTCTAAATATTGTACATCTTACTAGCTTATTAAGTGCTTTTTCCTCTTGCATCTCTGTCTCCTACACTCTGGGTGTGTAAATCACAGTCATTCTGCTTGGTCACTGAATTCCTAAGTGACATAAGTAGACATTTTTAACACTTTCACTGTTTTCTAAACAACATGCTACTTTTAAAATAAGCTACTGATGCACTGGGGTTGGGATCTGGATGTTTTTACAGTTCTTTAACAGCATGAGTCATGACAAATTTGTAACATTAGTTAAACTTTCATGAAAAACCCTTGGCATAATCACTTATGGGAAAGCTGGGCAGTTCTGGGCAGTGATTGTGAGCTTGCGTACGGTTGTAAAATTGTTGTAAACTAGGAACAGCTCTGTTGCAGTCAGCTGATTTTTACACCTGAGAGCATAGAAAGCCAATCCTTCTCACCTGTATAATCAGGTATACATTAAGCAAGATGTTTTCTGGCAGTCTTGTTCCCAGAAATGGGAAACAAATGACATCAAAATCCTAGCTATGATGGGCCACATTTTCAAAGGGGCTGCACAGAAGGCATTCATAAAACTTGCTGACACATCTATTTGCATGTGCAAAACATCTGCTGTTGTGTGTCTGATCACGTGTCTAATTGCCCCATGTGTCCAATCACTTCCATCTTTCTTCCACACAAAGCCTTAAACAATGATTCTGTTCTGTGTGTCTCTCCATTTAATTGGATTCACAGAGTACCCTTCAGTGTGGTATCTAGGCTTTTAATCTTCATCCTTGGAAAATTATTCACTATTTGGACCTGCCATGGCACAGCTACTCAACAAAATCCTGCCCCAAAGTGACATTAAAGGAAATTCTCACACAACATTTCCAACCTTACTCGGTTCAAAACCTCAATCCGCCTCGTGTTGTGATCAGTTGAATCTTGTCCTCTCCATCTCATGCTGGCTAGGCTATTTACTCACCTACAGAAGTTATCTGGTGAGATCATTCACCTTGAAATTCAAGAGCAAAACACGCAGGGGAAAAAATATGTTCTGTTGGACAAGCTAGCTTTAAAAAGAGGTCTCTCCTTCTCCTGTTTACTGCATGCTGGGCTAACACGCAGCTTCCTTTTCCCAGTAACTAGAAACAATCCGGTAAAATAAAACGATCTGAGAGGCAGTGAGTTTCCTAGCAGGGGATGTCCTCTATTTACAAAATGAAAGGGGAAACTTGTCTAATCCTTGTGCTTCTTCAGCACCCAGCACTGCAGAATCCAGGGATCAGAAATGGGAATAAATAGTAGCTGCACGCCACACTAGTTAGACATGGGGACTGTTATTTAGCTCCCATGTGGCAGCTTGGATTTATTATACCCTGAAAGAGGCTTATTTCTAAATGTTGTGATGTGATTGCATAGTCCAAGGAAAGACTGTTCTTTCCAACCTCTCTCTGAGAGGTTTACTGTTCATAAATACACGTTCTTGCCCTTTAGTATTAAAAACTCCAGAGATTAGGGAACCTTAAATAAGTGTTTTTAATGCACTAGTGACCAAATGGCTGAGATTTGAGGCTCCTAGATGTTGAACAAATACTTAGTATGACACAATCCCTAGACCAGAGTGTTAATCTAAACAGGACTGAGGATGGTAGAAGGAGAATGCGCTGTACAGAGTGATGGGATATAAAGGGTCGTTCAATTTTGTTAAATATAAATAATTCTGTATTAAACTTTTGCCAGTTTTGCAGTTTGGAGACACGTGAGAAGGGTGTCTTTTGGGTCTTTCTTTGCCTTTCACTTGAAGAGGAATAAAAAGCCCTAGTTGCATTTACATTTTCATTTCTCCTATACCAGCCCCAAGCAAAAATAATTGACAGCATTAATTTTGGGGCCTGCAGTCTCAGATGGAGGCCCCTCTACATAGGCTTTGCTTGCATCCTTAAGGCCCCACTTGGGGGCAGTAATGTTTCAGAGTCCAATGTCTACCCAGAGGGTTCAAAATAAGGAACACAAAAATAAGAAACATGGTGCTAGCAGCTCTGTTTAATGGTGCCGCCTCTATTCGAGCTAACCTCAGGAGCTGTAACAGGAGGCCTGGCACATGAAGGGAAGTAGAGGGAGTGCTGGGCCGAACTCGGGGAGTCCAAACCATCCTGTTGGACGGTTCCACTTGCCACAGCACTTCTTGAGGCAAGAAAACCCTTTATCAGTTTCTGTAGAAACTTAAATGATCTCCAGGTAGAAAGAAGTCAACTTTTCTGGACCTGCAAGATGCCGAGTAGTCCAACAAAGTCAGTGGAAATTAAGGTGAGGAGGATCAAGCCCAGGGAAGGAGAGTTACTTTTGCGACTTTTCTGCCCAATCAATACAGCCGTGTTAGGAGGGTTTTTTTTAATCCCATCATCACTTTAAAATGGCTGTTACTATGGGACCCACCAGGTTTCTGACTTCAGTTATAGTTGGCTGCCCATACAGGCAAACACCGGCGCTCGGCTATTTCCTGTATGTCTGTGCTCCTACCTGCTTGATCTCGGGGCACGTTTCACTAGTTAGCGGCTTTCTGCCTGGAAATCCCAGACCACTGTTGTACACATAACAGGCATGATTTCACTCTGATCCCCAAAGAGGAGATAAACAGTCATGATACCACCCATTTGGAAAATGAGTGGAGCAGGCTGTGCTGCCCTGCGACAAGGCACCAGGCTTTGCTTCTTAAAATACAGTGAAGATGAAGTTGTTTGGTCTCCTCGAGGGACACTGAGGATGAGTGGCAATAGCAAGACCAGACCTGGGTCTAGTTACCCTTAGCAGCGCAGACAGAAGTTACAGAAGACGCTCGGTTTTGAAACTTCATCTGACCCTTCATGCAATGTGGATTCAGATTTTCACTCGATCAGCCACTTTTGAAACTCTCTGTAGCTGTGTGCCTGTGTTTGGTCATGGCTATAAACTGTTTTCTGTGGCCAGATCAGATGACAATTGTCACTTCTGTCTGTGCCCTAAAGGTCCAGTCTTTTCTCAGGTGCGATAGGTTTTTCTCATCCCCAACTGAAAGCTCTTCCCAGGGCATGGTCCTGTCTGAGTCTGGACCTTGCAGGCCATAGCAGAGAATTAATTCCTTAACATCCCTCCGCTATAGGAATGCTGCACCCCTACTGCTCCTGTGGCTTCATGGGTCCTGGAAGTGGGTTACCAAAAGAGCACAGAGCATCAAACCAGGTGAGAAACGGAGGGGGTCCCTGTGCTCTGTGGAACCGAGGGTGAGAGATGATGCTAGCATGCAAAGAAGATGAAGAGAAATGGCTGGTCACAGGTGGGGGAAGAGCTATATGCATTCTCACAGGTGTCATATCGCACAAGCTAACCTGCAGCCAAGGGATTCATAGATTTC